TTAGACTCGAAACAGGACACTATAAAGGGGAATCACTTTTCAAGTGGTTGCCACCAAATATTATCGCCATGTGTTATTTTAAAAGAAATTAAATAAAGGAGAATGCGCATGAATGTAGGTGTGTTTCTCGCATTGCGAGAAAACGACAGTACCTAGAGCCATGAAATTCTGAATGACTTAATCCCCCCACCCGAACATGAACAAGCCCGACTTTTGAATTTGGAACTTATTTTATTATCTATTTCGCATACTGTAAAATTTCATACGAATTCTTAATTAACAGGCTCAAATTCCAAAGTGAGCAATGGCAACACTGTACAGAAAAGAAAAAAAAAATTATCTTAAGCGCGCGAGACTGTGTATCGGAAATTCTAAAGATATGCTATTTTTAAATATTTTGTGATATTGCTGTTGAGTTGAATTTTATCTACGAAGAACATGATATTTAATAAATAAATGTAACACAGAAAAGTTTTAAAAAACTAATATAAAAATCTGAAAGTTTTCATATTTTTTTAATCGTACCACTTATTAAAAAATTTTTCATTAGGATAGGTTTTAGGACTGTATTTAAGACTAAATTTTATGCATTACTGTACAAGTAAGGACGTATTACCCCTATCAGTCCACCAAGTAATTTTGCAGCAAGGATACCTTTTAGTGTAAACTACCTTTTAGTAGCTCAGTAACCTTTTACTGAGCGACGTGATTGATTGTTCATTGCGCATGCTCACAGCAGCCGTTGAGTGGCTGTGCTGAAGATTGTTAGTGGATAGAAGCTTTATCTATTGTCTAATTGGAGACATATTGTTGCCTCTTCTGCTTCTATCTCTACAGTTAAGCTTTTCAACCAATCAAACAGTTCTACAGAAAGAGGACCAACCAGTCGCAAAATATCAGGCGAAATGAACTTGAATGAATTCCTGTCCGATGGCATAACATTCTCAGGTTACAACAATAAGGTGGCGAGGAATCATGTCGCCAACAGAATCTGATTTAATCGTTGAGCAGCGTGCATAATCCTGTAAATATCCAAGAACCTCCGCCTTTGTTTTTCTTGTCGCCAAATCTCTTGCTTGATCTAATCAGGATAAGTCCACGGATTTTATTGTGGCAAAGAGGGCGAGAATACGTCTTACGTTGGCATGAGCATTGAGTAAAATATATGTGACAGAACGACTTAGCTCGTTTTTGAGCCAATTTCGAAAGAGAGCTGGAGATGAGTAAGAAGATCTCCTCCCTCTTCCCCTATCAGCAAACGACTGGAGAAAACTTTCGGCTCGCAGTGCATTTTGAGTGCCCCCTTGCCGCACAGGTACTATACGCCTACAAACATCCATGCCTTCTCTGGGAGCCGAACACGAGTGCTTCGGTATCGTAATCAGCACCACTAAACATTATCCCATCTGAGAGGCAAATCCATACATAAATTAACATAATATGATTTCGTTACAATAGTGTAACATCAATGAGTGAAACAAAAAGCTGAAAACAAAAAATTGCCGTTGAATGACGTGAAAAAAAAAGACTTATGATACTAATGATATGAATGTAGAATCATTATTGATACATTTTTCAGATATATTTTGAAATTTATACAGCATTCCATTATATTTATATGCGAAAATGCGTGCAAGTAGCTAGTAAGAAATTAACATATTCTCTCTTGCGTGCTATCCTGGTGTAAATGATTATCACTTCCAGCTAGGACCTGGAAGATCCGCAGTTATGATCTTGGCGGAGACAGAATTGCATCCTCAGATGTCTTGCTCTATGTCTCTCAAAGACGAATGCTTTGAATTCTTTTTCATCACTTATGACTACATTTAAGTTACATCAGTTTGACTCTTTTATGCGTTTCAATTAGTAGACCGCATATACTCGTGTAGTTTTACCACTAGTGCTTTAGCGCCATGTTTTGAAGATTTAAAAAACATTCGTGTAATTTTCGACTTAACTTTAGAGGACGAGCTTCCGTAAATTTTAAAAGAAACGTATTCCTACATGTAGTGATTGTTTTCGTCTTACTAACACAGAAAATTACTCACAAGATCACTCAGAACCACTTGCGAAGATCACGCCCGAACCTTTCCCTTCTAACTGTTGAACTTTATGCCAGCCTAATGCAAGAATAGACCATCATAGTGAACAAATACTGACGGACATTCAGTCAAAGATTTTGACCATTCGGCTGTACATTCACCGTTTTTAATTGTTTGTGGATGATTTGAGGCCCAAAGAGTAGCTGAGACAATAATAAGAATGGGTGAGATTTGAGTTGAAGTAAAGTAGAAATTCAAATAGCTTATTAGATATTCTAATGTCAATATTACTATGTATTCTTATCGGAATATAGATTTCTTTTAAAGAAATAATATTGGGATAGTTACCAGTAGTACAGCGGTTACAATAAGAACAAAATAAATGAAAAACTCATTTGTTACATTCTAACTGTAACCGCGTCTCTCGGAAGTACAAATTATTTGCATAGTTTTCCTCTTTCGAAATTCAAACAATAAAATTAGTCAAAATAAAAAAGGAGAATAAACAAAAAAGAAAGTACGTAGAAGTTATGAAGAAATATTCAAATAAAATTTTATTTAATAAGATATGCCTACACATGTTGTCAAAAGAGGAAGATGAAAAAATGAAGCACCCATTTGCAAATCAATAAATGTTCTTCCTTTGACAAAGCCTTCTTCGAGAGACGGAAAAATTATAATACAGACAGCTTTATATGCAACAAATTGCTTAGAACTGCTTTTCTGCGCGGAGAAATTTTCCATTGATGTGATTTTTCTGTTTCCTGTATTTAAAAAAATACAGGTGTTATTTTACCTCGAATACGTCTCCTCCAGTTCCAGGAAATGTTGCTACCTTCGACGTTTCCCGTGTTTTTAATATCGTCTGAGCAAAAATAAATAACAAATGAAGATTAAAGTATTGTGCAATTCGGTATGCAGCATATCTTTTAAGTCTCAGACGTATTATCAACTGACGTTTCCTGAGACTGACAAATTTTAAAAAACTAGAATAGAATTTCCATCAGAGAACATTGAAAATAGAAAGGATTACTCTTGTTTCCTGGCTTATTTTCTCTCCCCCCTTTTTTTACTTCATTGTACGAAGTAAAAGAAGTATTGCATTCACGAAATATTTTGGGTATCATATTTCAACGAAAATATCCATTTTTACCGCTCACGTATCCATTTTAATTACTCTTTGCGTGACATCTGTACGTATGGACAGATTAAAGGATTCTATTTTTGCAAAAAGGACTGTAAAACGGATTAAAATGGACTTAGAAGAGATTTTTTTTCGTTGCATCTGTACCTACGCACGTGTATATCTCACATAACTCAAAAATGAATGGCTCTAGAACGTAGAAATTCTGTGAAATAGACTACTATAACACGTGGTTGTGCACCTCCATTTTTCGTTGTCATCAGAAGCATCTCACGTATACATACATCTATAATATATATATAGCATATATGTATATATATATATATGTGTGTATATATATATATATATATATATGACATATGTGTATATATAATTCGAAAAAAAAAATTTTTTTTTAACAAAATGTAATCATGTCGAATTTCCGCTCATTAAGCTGCTAAAAAATTATCAACAAAGACATAAAGTAAGAAATTTAGAACCGGTCTTTTACAAAGACCAAAAATTTAAATTCATAAGTAATAAATTTCAAATAATCCTATAAATGCAATAAGGAATTTAATAAATGTTAAATCCAAAACCCTTCAAACAAGCAATACACCAATTTAAAAAAATCAATGGAAATTAAAGGGAAGAAAAACATAATGGAAGAGGAATTCAATCAACCTTAATGCCACTTCGTCAGGAGGAGGAACACTGAAATTAATTGAAATCTGTCTTCCACAAAATGCCTTGCTTTTCTGTATCCAGAATTAGCCGATGAGCCATTTCAATGTAATTTAATTATAATAGTTCATCCGAAAATTCTGAGCCCTCCCCAAAGCAAGGAAAACACAAAATAAATTAAAGAATTTTCTTTATTCCAGATTTTAATTATTCAAGGAATAATTATACCGAGGAATGTGTGCGCTGTGTTGAAGAAGAAATATTTAACAGAAATTTCTTTTCACAAGCAAAAGAATAAATTTTTAAACCATATTCATAGGCCAAAGAAAAACAAATTAAACTGTTTAGATTAAATAAGATTTGCTGACTTGCTATTGAGAAAAACGTAGTTATGGTAGAAATTATTAACTCGAGTTTAGGCAAAATAAAGCATATGCGGAAATATACTTTTCTGGATGATTTGAGGCCTAAGGTGTAGCAGAGACATCAATAAGAACGGACGAAATTCAAGTTACAGGGATTAAATACGAAGTTACGAAGGTATCTTATTAGAATTGTAATGCAAATATTACTATATATTCATATTCGAATGAAGGTTTCTTTTAAAAAATAATAATTTGATAGTTACCTGTAGATTATTCATGAGACTTTTCAATTGCTATGGTCTTACTGTAACCGATTTCCTTGGAAATTCAATTCTTCGCAGAATTTTACACTCTCGATTTTCGGATGATGAAATTAGTAAAAAAAAATGCGAAAAATATGCTATAAAATACGGTATTTAAATTTCCCAAATATGTTTCTTTTATGGAGAAAATGTTTAATTCTCTCATTGTTATTCTTTGCTACCCATTTATCTAATTATCATATTTTCAGCAATATAACGGTAATTTATTAACTACTACTGCAGTGCTGAAAATATTATTACACACCAGTAAACTGAAATATGTCGTTTTGTATTACTTTCAAATCTCATGTCAAAAAGAAGTTGGTCATTTAATCTAAAATATTCCGTTCTAAAGGATATATTTACATAATTATCTGCATTAACAAAGGCATAAATAAAATACTAACATTGTATTTTATTTAAAATTAAAATTGTAAAATTTGTAAAATACTAACATTCTTTTTTTTGTCTCCTCCTTTCCTAGATCTTCTCGGAATGTCTTGGTCATAAACCTCAACGTGTCGGATATCATTCTGTGCGTCTTCTGTATGCCCTTCACGCTGCTTGTAATCATCCGTAGAAGTTGGTTCCTTGGTGGCTTTCTCTGCAAAATGGTGCCCTTTGTCCAAGCGTCTACAATCTTCGTATCAGCAGCCACTGTGTTAGCCATCGCTGTCGACCGCTACAATGCTGTTATAAGTTTCAATCCTCAAAATCCAAAGGGCAACAGGAGAGAAATGTTAATAAGCACAGGCGTAATATGGCTTTCAGCTTTGCTTCTATCAGTACCTATATCCATCTACCAAGGCACTGTTCCAGTAGGACTACCCGGATTTCATATCTATTACAAGTGCGTAGAACTATGGCCCAGTTCTTCCTACAAAGGAATTTATACTGTGGTTACTCTGGTGGTTCAGTTTGTTATACCAGCTGTAGCTCTGTTGGTGACGCATATACACATACGCTCGCATCTGAACTCCAGGATCATCAAAGTGGACAGTGATACACTAAAAGAACAAGGTTTGAACATGAACTACGAGAAGCTGAAGAGAGATCTGAGACGAAACACTCGTGCTACCATGGTCCTTTTGAACATTTCCCTGGTCTTCACCATCAGTTGGTTGCCATGGAATAGTCTGAATCTTCTCGCGGAATTTAACCCTGACCTTCTAAGTCCCAGAGAACTGTACCTTGCTTTCGCCATTTGCCATATGGCAGCCATGTCTTCATCAGTCACTAATCCGATACTTTATGGATGGTTAAACAGCAACATTCGAAGAGAGATGGTGAAGTTAGGTTGGGCTATAACGAAACCAGGGACAGGGATGGTGTCAAATCATGGTTCTCAAACAGATAATCAAGCGATTCAACAAAACAATACAATGATTCGATTTTCGGCAGGAGATTCTACATTAAAAAGCACCAACCCTGAAAGCCATTTGTGAGTAAGATGAGACATTACAACGGATGATATATATATATATACGTATATTCAGAATATTAATTATGATTTTGTATTGTCTAATATTTTCTATTTAAAAGTATTTGCCTATTCTCTTTCATTCAAAGGATGCTTGTAAATGATAATGCTTGTAAATAAAAATTGTATCTACAATTTGGTTTGGTTTATTTGATTATGGCAAAACACTAGAAGGGTATATGCCTAAGGGGGAGAGAAGCCTTTCAGAAGGAATTTCTAGGGGAAAGTGGCTCGTATACGCTTCACACCCGAGGAAAACCAGGAAAATGCCCATGTAGCTATTCCGTTCACCGGAATTCCCACCCCCCGGACTGAGATAAAGGTGTTCAACGCCATTTTTGCTCAGCTGCCTCGTGGGCCTCTATCTACAATAGACGCCGCTTTATGTGATTGGCCTTAATGGCATCTCGGATATTGTTGTCAGTTGAAGACGTCTTGCCCATTGATATATGAAAACACATGTGATCAACAATTCGGTTATTGTGATTCTGTTAAACAATCAACAGTTCAATTGATCAACAATTCGGTTAATGTTATCGAAAAATTGAAAAATGGGTTTTTAAGCTAAAGTAAATTCGCCAAATAAAGGCGAAATAGGTATAGTAGTTGCCAAATGCAGATATACATCGCCATGTAGTTTGATATTTATTTAAGACTACCACGTACAAAAGAACCCGTTTTTCAAATTTTAGGAAGGTCGATTGGCTTAATTAGAATGAACAAATAAAAAAGAAAATTTTTTGACGAACCCAAATGCCTGAATGCTTTTCATACCAAAGTGCCTTAAAAGTTTTTTAAATTGAAGCTGCTTATCGTTAGAATAAGATAGATTGTAGGATTATTATTATTTAAGTAAACCGTTACTTATAATTTCAGCTTAACTGTCACTTCTTCTTTCCGTTTCCTCACCCAAATGCAGTTCAGACAGTATTTAAGTCGACAAATTTGGATTTTCAGACGGAGCGCATTTCTGCTTCTCGAGCCACGTTACTAGGTTTCGCCAGCTGTTGTTAAGATTGTAATTCTTCGGCTTTGCGTTATTGTTGCCAAGATTTAACTGCTACGCCGGTTAGAAGTTATGAGCCAACTTCGCATTAAATGAATTATGTAGTCTTTGATTGCTAGGCTGGCTTAGTTTTAAATATGAATTGACTGTTACTTTAAGGCAGGAGTCCCTAACCTTTTCATTCCTGAGAGCATATTTTAGAATATCTGTTGGAACGCGGGCAAAATTTACTTTTTCAAGGTGAATTTATAGCTGGATCGAGTTAATAATACATGCACATAGAAAAAGGGATCGGTGGCATTTCGCTTTGTGCTGGTACCTGTGTTGGACACAATTTCCATTTCTTTAAAAATGAGAGAACTTTCACATAGAATTTTATTGAAAAGTAAAATACTTTTATGCTGATCGCACAGCTGGGGGGGCACACTTTAAACGAGAAACGCAAAGAAATTTTTAAAATTTACTTCAGCTTCTGTGCAATTAGTGATGTTCATAATATGCTTTATAACCTTACTTAGCTAAAAATTGCTAGCGTACTTTACTTTCGCAGTTCATAAGCAAAAATAAAAATTTCCAACAACATGGAAAAAAACAAAACTTTTCTGCGTTCTACGTCAGGATCTTAGCTAAAAATTGCTAGCGTACTTTACTTTCGCAGTTCATAAGCAAAAATAAAAATTTCCAACAACATGGAAAAAAACAAAACTTTTCTGCGTTCTACGTCAGGATCCATATCAAATCCAAAACAAACAATACTCGCTTAAGTGGAAAAAATTCAGATGTTCAGCCTCGTAACCAGTTGTTTGGCGCCAAAATATTACAGTGACACCTAGCGGCGGAAAATCAAAATAATCTACGGATACGCGCCAGTGGAAACGCTTGTACGGATGCCGTAGGTGTGTCTTCAACTGACGCAACGCATTCGTACGCAATAGTGGAAACGGGCCTTTACGGAACAAATGACGGATGGCTCCGTAGCGGAACCAACAGAGGGTTAATATCAAGTCTTAGAACATAATTCTGAAGTTGCCATTCCGGCAAAGCATAATTCTCTTTCTTTTATTTATGTTGCGCAACCTTTTTTTACTTACTTATACGAAGTAAAGAAAGTACTGTAATCGGAAAAACATCTGGTATCGTATTTCAACGAAAAAATAGCCATTCTGATCCCTCTCAAATCCATTTAAATGAATTTTTTACATCTGTACGTACGATCAGAATAAAGGACTCTTTTCCCAAAATGGATGGTAAAATGGTTTAGAATGAATTAAGAAGGAATGTTTCCTAACATTTGTGCGTGCGTTCGTATATATCTCGCATAACTGGAAAATGAAAAGCCCTAGAGCGTTGAAAGTTTGTAGATATCTTTCTCTTCTGTCTCAACTGCACGAAATACTGTCATTTACAGTACTGTATAAGGTATTTTCTCCCTTCTTCCATGCCTTAATGGTGTAACGGTAGTACACTCGCCCAATATTCAAAACTTCATTTTCACCTCTCTAACAACAAAAAAACCTAATGACTCTGCAGTGGCGCAGGAACTAAAAGGTGGCGGAAAATAATTTGTCACCATCGGGATATGACGAATGGGTTCCTTAATCCCCAGTCACCCTTTAGATTAGGTATTTTTCCCCTCCTTCCATCACGTTATCGTGATGTAATGGTAGTACTCTCCGCGTGTATTCGAGAGGACAAGGGTTCGAGTTCCGGCCGTGTAACGGCAAACCGCACATTGAACTGATCACTGTTAAACGAATTTCGCTTACTGCGCATGCCCAAAAGAGAATTTGGCGCAATTTTAAAAGAAGATAAATATGGTATATGGTTGATATTGTGTTATCTTGGGCGTAAACTTTTCGAGGTTTAAAATGTGTGAGGTTGTAAGCTGCTTCGTTACTTGGACTGTAAATGTCGAATGTAAACTACCCAAATTTTCTTTTAAAAAGGATTACAAAACAGGAAACTTTACAAGATATATTAGCTGATTATACATCTGAGGAATAAAACCAACTGAGTATTTACCATACGTTCCATTCACATATATTTTAACAAATTAAGGATTGAATTTAGTTTAATTTACTGAACTAAAGGTCAAATAAATTACTGTAAGTAAATGAAATAGACTGTTGCAATTGTAAACAGTCGATAAGTCCTACATGACGAACAGGCTTGTGTAGGGTTGCTTATGCTTAGTCGCCAGTATTTTCTCCCACGCCAACGGTACACCATGAGCATGCGCAGTAAGTGAAATTCTTTAACATTGATCAACTCAATATGCGGTTTGCCGTTAAGTGTCCCGGCCGCATATTTCACAAGTGCACATCTGTGTAGCCACCGAGGGAGTGGTTTCTAGGATGGACCAATGGGCATCCAGTAATATTCCTGTCATGTCACATGACCTTTCGTGTGCTTTAAGATTTAAGCAAGATGGCTGAAAATATTCTGCCACGTAATTTTATCTGTATAAAATAATTAAAGCATCGCTGATTTCTTTTAAAACTTTTTATTGCGAAATTAGATCAAACATAAGCAATTGTGAAGATTTCACTACGCGGTTGAAAGAATTTGAAATAAATACAAACAAATGTTGGATACTCCGCAAAAATATCCATGTGAAATATTACTTAATATGTGGTAAATAAGATGAAGAAAGAAATATGTGATAAACATCTGAGCCCAAAATGCTATGTTTACATAAAACTATGCATATGAGAAAAATATTTATACCAACTGCATAAAATATTTATATCAGTTGTAAATAGAAGTCAGGACTTTTTATTACAGTCTATATGAAAAAGATGTTCTAATAACCAATGCAGAATTTTATTCAAAGTGAACTTTACTAATTTAGATTCGTATACATTTTTGAGTGTTCAATTTTACATTTAATAACTGCTCACTCTTACTTGCACTGTCTACACAAGAAATACTCTTAAAACTGAACAAATTTATCTTATTCACAACGAATATATTAAATTTATTCACTTGTTAACTTTTACTGTTAATAATGGATATAATCAGATCATACACAATATGTATTCTGAATCTTACACTTTAAAATTCAAAGGAATACAAGCACTGAAATAAGAAAACACTAGATTCATTGTAACACTTCCAGTCCAGAAAATTATACACTTGAATTCTCTTAATCCACAGGTGTTAGTAAATGCATAATATCCGAGGCTAATTATAGTTTGAGTCATTTTCTCGATGTAAATAGCGATAATATGCCATGAACATAAATCCAAATATTAATGCGTGATAAAAATCGCCAAGAAAGTACGAGATTTTCTGCTATTACGCCATACATTTATAACTGCGAAACAAATACAAAACATAAACAACATACGCTCACAGGCTCGAAGATTTAGCGTCAAAAGAGCAATAGAAGCTCATTGGTCAGTTTTCGAAATCCCTCCCTCAGTGGCTACGCTGATGTGCACTTGTGAAATATGCGTCCCGGCCAGGGCACTGTTCATCGTTCACGTCCTTAGAAACAAAAAGAAAAAACAAATGACTGCATATTTTAAAAATATAAATATAAATATTAATGTTATAAAATTTAATTGGAATTTAGTTATCCCAAACACATGGAAAAATTAAATTACATTCACTTTTAAAAAATTACAAAAATTATGCTTTTTGTAATAGGAATAACCTAAAACTTAAATTAGTCGTATTAAAGAAGAAACAGTCTAATAGCTTCTATTTATATAATGCACCTAAAAAGGAAAAAGCATCGGTTGAAGAAATTAATTAATTTACTTTCCTTTTAATCCATTAATTTACTTTTATTTTTAATTTACTTTATACTTTTCTATATAAATTATGCACTTTTTATTCATGAGAGTGAAATGATTTTTTAAATGCTGAGAAATTCTTTCTGGATTAGCAAAAAGTGAGCAAGTCTTTTAATCTTACAGAATACTCTAATTGATTTAAAAGAATACAAGCAAGAAGCCTGTTCTCGCTGCACAGAACGTTGATTATAATAGTTACGTTTCTTTTAATGAAAAGTATAAGTAATATAGTTCTGCTATTAGTATACATTGTTAATTCAGTTAATGCACTTATTAAAATAGTATATATGATGCCATTTGAGTTATTGTATTTAATCAGACT